TGAGGCTTGTTTCAACCAGCTGCTCTGAGGAAAAACTGACTTGAGTGAAAGCCTGACAATGAAGTGACAAACAAACTAGTGAATTTGTTCTACACAGTGGACCAGCTCCCACTGTGAAGAACAGACCTTTCTTTTTTTCCAGTCGTAGCCTGATAAGTAAGCACTCTTGCCTGAAAGTTTTTGAAAATCACGGTTTCATCTAGTGCTTTCCCCTTACCTCCCCACCCTCTTATTTATCTTAAAGTGCTGTTCCAGTGCTTCTACACTGTAGTGCCTTATTCCAGGAGAAAACCCCTGATATTAACTGAATTTGCTGTAGCCAAGCTTGGAAGTAACTGGCAAATGTGGTGTGGACTGGTACTGTCAAGACTACGCAAGAGTAGTGTGCAGCAGGGGTGTGCAGCAACAACTTTTTGCCACTTCTGTAACTCTGGATTCTTCAGTAATGTTTGACTTGCAGAGCTGTGGTGGGGGTTGGCAGTGGCAGCCCCACTGCTGTGCTTGGGCTACCAACTGCTGTTAGTGGCAAAGATCTGATGAGTGGAATCACCCTGTGGTTATGGGAGAAAAGTAGCTATTCTTCACCTTCACAGAGACTGCTGTATCATCTTCTGACTGGCCTTTTGCAAAGAATAAAGTTTTTGATCTGCAAGAGTAACACTTTTCTTAGCTTGTCTCTCTTTCTGCTGAAGTAAAAAAAAATACTATTTAGGCTGGGGCTATTGCTGGTAGGACAGCAAAGTTGTTGTGTTTTTGGTTTTTTTGTTTGTTTGTTTTTTGTTTTTTTGTTTTTTGTTTTTTTTAAAAAAACCCAAACAACTGGAAGGGTGTCTGGTCAGCTAAGAGAAAACAAAGGGGTTATTTAAAAATCTCAGTTACTACCCCCTGTATATAGATTTCTTTCTACCTTGCTAGCCTCCCTGTGGCAGTGGAATTTGCTGTGCATTTTGGAAGTGTGTGCTCAGAGGAGAGAGGTGGTGTAAGCTGCCCTGTCCCATGTCAGCACTGAGCAAAGAACATCAAGCAGAGCCTTTACAGTTGTGCTTTGGGTGATGCTGGCCTGGAGGAGGGAGGCAAGCCAAAGAGATGCAAGAGCTCAAAGCCAAAGAAGGAATACCAGTGATACTGTCTGCCAGCCAGCAACGTGACAGCCTGGTTTGTTTTCTAGCTGCTTCTCTCTCACCTTAAATTTGTGAATGTTAGGAACTTCGTTGTAATAATGAAAGCCTCAGACAGATTTGTGATAACTAATGCCATGCTGGTGAATGCTCGATTTATTCTGCCCTTGTTCAGTTTATTTCCTTAAGACATTGGCTGTCCCTTCAGAACAGGGCTATTACTGAAGTAACATGACCCATACTTACCTTAAACTAGGGTTGAACTGTTCGATTCATGTGCTTCCTTAAGATTGAAGACAACTTTTCCCAAGGCCCTGGAATAAACTACCGTAAAGTCTAAAAACTAACATAAATTCTAAAAATGTGCAACTTCAATAATAATTGGTTCTAAAGGATGGCTGACTTCTTTTGAAACTTTTTTTTTACCCTTAGGTGGTGCAGTGACTTCTTTTTCACTGTTCCCCCTCACTGTAGTAGTAACTCCAGCTTGCTCTGACTAGTAGCCTGATAAGTAAGCACTCTTGCCTGTGGAAAGCAGCCTTTCAAGTGGAAAACTAGAACGAGTGTGAATATCAGATATGTGTACCCATGCGCTGAAGACACTGTTTTCAAATCTGTATTAGCTTTTCTAGGCTGAACAGCTCTGTCTTGCCTCTGTTGTTGCTTGGCAGAGCCCGGCAACTCGTCTTCCTCACTGTGTTTTTGAGCTGCTTCCCAAGGGGTCGTCAATAACTTGGCACGGTCTTTGATCCTGGCACTTCACATATCCTTGATGTTTCTTAGTCTAGAGAGAGTCTGTGAATGGTCAGTTGTACCCCTTGAGGCATTAGTATTCTAGCCAAGCTTCTAAACTCCTTTCCCAATTATGTCAAATACCAAATGTATTTTTATATCTATTCTTAATTTACAGGGAAGGCTGAGAGAAGCTTATTTCTATGATTACTTATATTTTCGCTGCATCCTTTGATTCCCACGCTTGTAAAAGGACCTGTGTACTTCACTAGATGCTGTGAACTGAAGTGTTTGCTGCAATCACAGCTGTCACTGCTGCTGCTAAATTTTGGCATTACTATTGCTCTTGAAAATTTACTTTACTTGCTTTTATCTGATTTATTTTTTCCCCATCTTCCATCTGAACACTGCCGACTGCAGCAGAGAGGGGGGTGCTTAAGTTGTTGGGGTTTTTTTCCCTTTTCTTTTTGTGCCTGTGAAAGCTCAATGTCCCAGCCCAAGCTGAATTCAGACAGAAATAGGAGGGTAGAAGGAGGTTCCCAAAGTTGCTTTTCATAACAGGAGTGCAGGAGAGAAGTTAGAGTTGGGGCAGCAGCAGATTAATGTGTCGCTTTACCTGTGACACAGAGGAAAGTGTAAAGTTTTTTTATTAGTTTTTTTAAGTTTACTGTTCATGCATTAATCTCTGTAGCATTATGAAATTGGGTAGTATTGCTGACTAAGAAAGAAGGGCTGGTGAGAGCTGGTGGGGAAGAGGGGATGTGAATCTAAAGCAATCCCAAGTAAGCTGAAGTATCCAAAAAAATCCACCTGCGCTGCTCTGCCTGTGTGGTTGGTTAAGAGCAGGAGCTGTCTCTCGTTCCACACTGGCATAAGGAGGAGAAGGTGGCCACCAGCCACTTTTACTCACAGTAGCAACCGTTTGGCCAGAGAAATTGGGTGAATAAATGGAATTGCTGAATGACTGCAAAACTTTCCAGAGCTCTTTCCTGTACGAGAGTTGGAGACAGCAAAGAGAAGGGGACAGGGAATCCTGAAGGGCTGAAATTCCTCTGATGCAAAAGCTTATGAATGTGATGCTCCTCTGCGTGCGTGAGAATGTTGTTGTTAGTGGTACGGCTGTACTGATGCTGGACTCATCTCTCTGTTTCAAATACTGTGAGGACCAAGGAAGACCTTGCAGTTTGGTTGGTTGGTCTTTAACCTGAAGTTCAAGTCCAGAGCTTGAACAGAACTGTGGTTCGGTTTTGGGTTGTTTTTTTTTTTTGTCTGAAGCAGGTGCCTGTGTCTTCTGTTTACCTGTGCTGGTTAACCAAGTGCTGACCGTGTGCCTGAAAACTATTTTGCACATGGATATTTGTATCAACAACTCGTGCTGTATTTGTTTGTCACTGTAAGAGAATATCAGCCTTTTTGGTCTAATGTTGGCCCTGCAAAAATACTTTTCTTACCTGAAGACAATTATCCAGTAAAATCTGTGTAGTATTTTGCAAGCAGTTACCAGGAGACGACTCAAGGATCATTTTGAAGTCGTTGTGTCCAATGTTATTGCCCACTTCTTGCATGAGTTTTGTCTGACTCCAAAACTCTGTCTAGCTGAGGTTCATCTAAGCAGCCAGGCCAGTCTCATCTGCCCACCAACTTCCTCACCAAATGGTTTTAGAAAACTTCTGCTTGCTGTTAAGAATGTCACAGAACATGCTCACTGTTGGGCGTTACTTAGTGTTGCCACTGTCATCCAACAGCCTTTCTTACTGCGTAGCGTCAACGCGCCACCCTGACGAAGGGAAGTTGTCTTATGCTTTAAGGAGTGTGCTGGTTTTGGCTGGGGTAGAGTTAATTTTCTTCACAGTAGCTGCTATGGACTATGTTTTGGATCTGTGCTGGAAACAGTGCTGATAATTCATGGATGTTTTTGTTACTGCTGAGTAGTGCTTTCACAGCCTCGAGGCCTTTTCTGCTTCTCACCCCACCAGTGAGTGGGCTGGGGGTGCATGAAGAGTTGGGAGGGGACACAGCCAGGACAGCTGACCTGAATTGACCAAAGGGATATTCCATACAATATGGTGTCGTGCTCAGCATATAAAGCTGGGGGAAGAATAAGGAAGGGGGGACATTCAGAGGGATGGTGTTTTGTCTTCCCAAGGAACCATTACCCGTACTTGCCCGTGAGGGAGCCCGGCTTTCCTGGAGATGGCTGAACACCTGCCTGCCTGTTGGGGAGTGGTGAATGAATTCCTTGGCTTGCTCTGCTTGTGCACACAGCTTTTGCTTTACCTGTTAAACTGACTTTATCTCAACCCACGTGTTTTCTCAGTTTTACTCTTGTGATTCTCTTCCCCTTCCCACCTGGGGGGAGTGAGTGAGCGGCTGCGTGGGGCTCAGTTGCCAGCTGGGGTTAAACCATGACAGCCCTTTTTGATGCCCAGTGTAGGGCTTGATTGGAATGTGCTAGAACAAATTTATAGCTGTTGTTGCTGTTTAGCTATTAATCGGCAGGCTCCTGTGCTTGCCATGGGGCGTGCTTGCCTTACTGTAAATTAGTCCAGTGCTCATTAGTGGCTGCTTTCTGCTCTCGCTGCTTGCTGTGCTGCCGTACTGCCTATCGTCCTACTCTGCTGTGCCTGGGGACACTCTGATCACAGCAATGGCTGTGAGCCTGGGCTGGCAGATGGCCAGGGCACCGCTGCTGGTTCTGTGCTGCTGCACTGGGCAGGCTGGAACTCCAGTGTGAACCCGAGTCAAAGGGACCGTTGCCTGCGGATGAGCCCACGCGGCAGCAGGACAGCCTGAAGCATCCGTGGCTGCGGAGAAGCCTGCGCGGGAGCCAGGTAAATCTCGAAGTGCCTGTGGCTGTGGTTGTGTCTGTATAACTCTGAAGGGGCTGTGGCCCAAGGATAAGTCCACACCAGGGCAGGTACCTCTTGAAGCGTCTGTGGCTGTGGATAAGTCCGTGCTGCGTCCGTGGCTGTGCGTGGGGTCATGCTGGAGCACCTCAAAGCATGGATAAGCCCACGACAGAGCAAGTACTCCCCTGGAGGGACTGCAGCCAGGGGTAAGGCCATGTTGGAGCAGGTACACCCCTGAAGGGACTTTGGCTGTGGGTAAGGCCATGCTGGAGCAGGTCTATCTCCAAAGGCATTGTGGCCCATGACCAAGGCCATGCTGGAGCAGGTGCACCTCAGAGTGACTGGGGCTGTGGATAAGTCTCTGCCGCAGCAGGTACATCCCTGGAGAGACTGTCGCTCATGGGTAAGGCTCTGCTTGGAGCAGGTACTCCCCTAAGGGACTGCAGTCTGTGGATAAGTCCAAGCTGGAACAGGGGCAAGGCGGGGGAGTTCATTGTGATGTTAAACCCAATGGTCTGGTCCAAAGGAACCAGGAGCAGAGATTATAATGGAAATACTTTTAAATTGTTGTAACCCATGATTTGAGTTGCATGTTACAGGAGTTACTATAGCAGGAGCTACCCAAACCAACGGAGGACAAGCTTTACAAGAAGCAGTGCAAGTGCAGCAGTGACCCAACCTGAGCTGGCTTTGGTGCCCGGTAACAACACGCAACTCTCCGCCTCTCCTGTCCTGAGTGACCACCATAACAGATGGAGCCCAAAGTCGTGGACTGAATGAACTCAGTGGACACTTGTGGACATTTTACAGGGGTGGTCCATAGACTAAGGGAATGATATCTCTGTATTATATCAAAGGATGGGAAGAGGGATGGTGGGTAATGAGAATCTATTGGATAGTGTGGGACCTGAGCATGTGGTAAATGGTATGGAATAAGGGGTGGAGAATGTGCTGGTTTCAGGGTAGGGAAGGAAGGATGTAGAGCTAGGGCTCCAATGCCACTGGTGAAGTTTGTAGAGCAACGGGTGCCTGTGTGGTCAATATTTCTGAATAAATGCAAGGGGTATGGGCCAGCCTGTGTTTCTGTGAGAAGGCAATCTCTTTTGGGAATTAGGGTGAAGCTATAATGTTAAAAGGGGTGTGAATTCAGGTGAGGTCTGTGAGTGTTGTTCTGTGGACAAGGAGCAGCTGGGACAAACCGAAGGGGCTGGCTGTGTTGTTTCAGAGCTACGTGTGCATTTGTGCTGCTGCTCAGTGTCTTGGGCAATTGCTCAAGTTAAAGCAGGGTGAAGGTGGTTTATATCCGCTAGACATGCGAGTAAACCCCTCATCCCTTGGTTTTTTGGTCCCCATTTCCTTATGTGGTCAGTCCTTGCTCAGCCACTTCCAAAGACCCTGTCAGCCAATCTCACTGGGCCATCGTTCCGTCTCAGAGAGACACAGGGGAAGGCTGGTGCATGGAGAGGTGCAAGGGGAGCGTCCTCTGCCTGCCTGAGGTGCTGAAGCCGGTCTTATAGGTGCGCAGCATGAGCTCCTTTCTGGCATGCTTGTCTGCATGCAAGGTTTTGTTATAGGGTCACAGTTCGTGTACCTCCTCACGCGCACCACGTGCTCTGTCCTCAGCTTTATCTTCTCACTCCTGATCCAGTTTGCTTTCCGGCAGCATGGAGTGACTGACACAGAAGGCAAACCATACACTAAACTTTCTTTACCTTACACATCCTTTTCATGTGATCAGTTGAAATGCTGTCGTTGCTGGCAGCAATTGCAGATCGTTACCTTTTGGCAGTCTACTCAGAGGCAAAAAGGATCCTGATATCACAGTCTGATAGGCAGAAGGCCGATGTCGCTCCCAGGCTCACCTGTGCAAGGAAAGAGAGTTTCAGCAGAAAGGCCAAAGGCTAACCAGGCACCGAGAGCAGCTCACGTTCCACCTGTCAGCAGGCTAAAGGCAGGCCTGCCCCAGCTGCAGCCTCTGCTCTGTGCTGCTGCTCCTGCTGCTCCCAACAGGGACCTGAACCAATTGAAAAATGCTCCAGTAAGGTGGATCAGGGGTGGTTTTAGCCAGTGCAGCTATTGAGGGAAACATGCGGGGCTCCTCGATGTCCCCTAAGGGCATCCTGTTAGCAGCAGCCCTCCCCGCCCTGCGGGTTCGAGTGTTGCACTCAGGGGACTGCACAGACCCCAGTTTTGCAGGGGTCAAGACCTTTCCCGAGCGCAGAGGCACTGCCTCATGGCACCGCTAGGACTGAACTGGCCCTAGCTGCCAAGGTGCCCCTCCTCACCGACTCAGGGAAAATTACTGGGTGCAATCTGATGTTCTGGCTCTCGAGATAAACGGAGGACTTCAGTCCGGAAAGCTACTGTACAAAAGCAATAAATACCTTTTGGGGAAAAAAAAAAGAACACAACACACCAACCCACGCTTGTGTTGCTGATGGAAGTGCCACTACCTTTTGCCACTGCAAAGTAAAGGCAGATGTGTTTGAGCCTTGCTCATGAAATGTTCCTGAAGATGTTCTGTTTGTATACGGGCTTATCAGGAGTGGAATTTTGGAGTGGGAAGTGGCTGTGTGCAGGTACAGCCCCTGCCAGGGCACAAGGAGCCCAGCCTGCATCAGGGTGCTGGCCCTGCTTGCCGCAGGGTTAAATGCATACAGCAGGGATGCTCTGTGTATGTGTGTGTCCCACAGAGCCTGGGCCCTCTCCCTCGGTCCCTGTCTAAGCTGTGCTGCCACCATGCCTGTGCCCAGCCTTGTACCTGGCCACCCATGCTGCCATCTTGCCTGCCAGGGCCCTGGCTTGGCCTCAAAGCTGCCCTAGCTCTGCACAGTGAATTGCATTGCAGACCACATCCAGCTGAAATGCAGCTTTTCCCACATTACCTCGTCAGTGAAATCAGTGTTCTGGTTTGTTTTTCTAGGCGTCCATAATGGAGAGAGCAATGTACGATAGGGATGGCTGGAAGTGGGGTGGGAGGGAGGACTGCAGGCAAGGGTTGCTCAGCTGGGTACCCCTGCTACATCAAACAGTGGCTCCTGCAAAGCGGGACCATCCCCATGCTTTCCTCGGGGTCAGGGGGAATGATGATGGAGAGCCACGTGTCATGGGTATGTCCAGCCACAGCTTTGTTCCATGCCAAGCACCGAGAGTCAGCCAGTGGCTGTGGTGCTGGAGGATGGTAAGCGAGGGGAGAGCCTGCAGGAGCTGACCTGTGGTGTGGCAGTAAGAAGAACAGCCAACTCGCGTGCCACTCCTGTGCATCCCTGCCTCAGGCTTAAGAAAAAATCTACCCCTATTTAGGGAGAAAGCCAAGTGCTGTTGACATTTCACATTGCACTACTCTTCTGGTAGCTAAAAATACGCCATAGCTTCTTCAAGCAAATGCACCTTCTTTCACACCTGCCAACTCTCAGGCTTTGAAAAGTCACTGGCTGTTCTAGTGGTAACCAGCTGGATCTGTATGCCCAAACAAACGGGCCAAGTGGCCTGCATGCATCAACTGCCCCTATATTCCCTGCCTGCATAGTGTGGTATGTAACAAACAGGTGTTTCATGTCCATGGGGAAACTGGAGCGCAGGCGATGTGCTGATTCACAGTGAGACTGCTGCCTTTCGGACCCGTCAGGATACGGGAATGCACTGATCAGCCCTGTGGGGTGAACACAGTGGGTCTGATCCGTGAGGGGTGGGAAACCCCAGCGTGTTTGGAGCCACTCGTGCCTTGGGTTCCTTCCAGTGTCCGCCTAAGAAAAGCTAGTAGGTCTGCTCTTCCCCCTCCTGTCTCTGGAGCATAACTCTCCCTACAGCCACCAGCAGTAGGTGCACCATCAAAGGAGGCACAGCAGATGCACTGAAAACATCCGTGGGTTGTACAAGCAAATGCTGACCTCCCCTGAAACAGGTGGGTCTAAATGGCTTCTTCAATGCAGTGACAAAAATGTAACTTTTCTAACCCATTTCTGCCTTGGGCTGTGACAGGCTTGGACCAGTGCACCTTACACTGAGTACCTCGCTCTGACATACAGATCCCTGCCAAGGTGAGGCTAGTCATGAAACGTGGCGCTGCTCAGAACTGTCAGTGGGGTCTAGCCACAGGCAATTAAATTCCTTTTCTATTTTTGGTAAAATTTTAATTATGGGGAGAGGGGGCTTCACAAAATCCATATTTTGGACAGATGGCACATCTCATGTTTTAGCTGGAATAGTTTTGTGCTAAAAGAAGGCTTTTACACCAAATGTGTTGAACAGGTGAAAAATATGTTTAACAGCAAGTAACATTCTGCTTTTTTTTGCAGTTTACTCACATAATTCAGAGAGTGATTAGTGGGGTTTACTCACATAATTCAGAGAGTGATTAGTGGGTATTATGATCAGTATTCCAACTCACAGTCCCATTCAGCTTGACCAGTAGCAGTTTTGTCCCCACGTCCTCACAGCAAAATGGATTTCTCTAACAGCCAAAGATAAGCCAAGAGCCAAGGCAAGCTTGTTCTGCCCTTAATTGTCTCCTGGGCCTTCCCAGAACATTGCTAACCCTTCTTTTTCTGATATCCTATCAAGCCCTACCATGGAGCTTCAACTGCTTTGATGAAGTCATTTTGATTATTAAACTACATGGGAGGGAAAAACATGGATTTCTTCCTGCTTGGTACAGCAGAATCAGGAACATTTTAAAACTGGATTATCTCCTTTAGGAGAAAAAAATCACTGGGGGAGGTGGATCTGTGGTCACAAAACATCTCTCCTTCCAGGCACCCAGAAGTAAAACATGAGTGCTGCATCCCTTCTGACCCCACCGAGATGGGTACTATCAAACTACCTCTGTGAAGTTTTTACGACGATGCTTTAAAAGCAGAGGCTCTCTCCCTGTGCACGGGCATGAACTCTCCCAGTATGCCTTTGTGTGAGAGCCAGGGGCCATCCCGGTGCTCTCAGATGCCTCTGTCGCTCCCTGTGCCTCCCTCTCTTTTTATGGCCAGCTGCCCAGTTCTCTCTGGTTGTTCCTTCCCGGCCTGAGGATGCTGCTGTTTAGTCCACGGGGTCCTGCAGGGTAACAGCTGCAAGGTAGCTGTTCAGGTAAAGGACAGGGTGGTGCAAGCCTGCTGTGCAATAAACAGCTGTGCGACGTGCTCTTGTGTTTTTTCGACTTAGTAACACTTAAACACAAGCACTGCAGAATGCCAAGGTAAGACTAGGGGGCCTACAAGAAAGATGGGGCAATCTTTTTAGCAGGGCCTGTTGCGATAGGACAAAGGGTGATGGTTTTAAACTAAAGAAGGGCAGACTTAGGCTAGATATAAGGACGCAGTGTTTTACACTGAGGGTGGTGAGGCACTGGAACAGGCTGCCCAGAGAGGTGGTAGATGCCCCATCCCTGGAAACATTCAAGGTCAGGTTGGA